CAAGCTCCGGTCAGTCAAACCTAATGCCAGATTCGCACAATGTACGGAGCCAATTTGCTGTGCTGTATAATGGAAGCATAATGTCTCAGATATCTACAATGTATTGGCAGGGATGAGGTTCATCTTGTTAAAACACACTAATGCTTGTTAAAGGGGCATTTTAATACTCTCAGATACCTAATCACAGTGCTTTGGTTATGATGCAAGGTAAAGCTTAATATACTGTATTTACTCAAATCTAATGCGCACCTTTTTATGAAAATAAAGTGTCCAAAATTTGAATCCAAATTAGATTCGATGGCACATTACATTCAGGGCAAAATTCTAAATTAAAACTGATGAATTAAAACTAGTGAATTGAAACAGGTGAATTGAAACAGGTGAATTGAAACAGACGAATTGAAACAGCAAATTTTATTCCAGAGAATATACACAGGCAAATTTCGTTCCTGAAAGAAGACTTCAGTACGGACAGACTTAACATGTAACACTTAAATTAAAATACCATCAATGATAATATGGTATATGGCAATAAACATTTTCATTGTAGCATAATGTTGTATAGTAGCATCTACTTGTATAAATGCGCATTACATTGACCAGCAAATACTTTTTTCAGCTTCCAGGTTTCAAAAATTGATGTGGGCATTAGATTCAATGAAGCGTTAGCTTCAAGTAAATACAGTAAGTTGCTTTCCTAGAATACAGAGGCTGGTCCAAACTTAAAAAAAAAAAAATATATATATTGTATAGAAAAATAGAACCTCTTATTGACTGAGGAATATCGTCCCACCTATTCCCCAAAACCTTGTGTGTCAGTAATGTGATTAGTGGACAGCCTGTCCTTTGTGCCGTGAAATGATGATAAAAAAACATGTTGGGTTATTTACTCAAGTGAAAATTGTCAGAAATTCACAGTAACTTCAAAGAGAATTTAAATTAAATATAAACTAGCTGAATTCAATTCTGTTTTCAATTTGGCTATTTTAGACTTAAATTTAAAATTCACTTTGAATCTATTTTGAATTCCCCAAAATTTGCGCTCTAGTTTTCAACCAATGCATTCATAGTCTCATATCTTGCTCTAAAATCCCGAAATGTTCTGAATGGTCACTTGAACAGCTAGTAAGAAATTATTAAAGGGTACTCTGGTCACAAATAATCCGTTAATGCATTTGGCGTCATTAATTTGCTATATTTTTGCATGCTCAAATCTTAATAGTTTTCTTATAACATAAATTTAAAAAATGTGCAGAATGCTGCACCATAAGCCTGCCTAGTTAGCCATTAAATGTAAGAACAGAGCCCAGCTCAGCCACAGACAGTACAGAATCATCTGAACTTCAAATCAACTTACATTAGAACGAGTGGACACCCAGGGAAACGAGTGGACACCCAGGGTTAGTAAGGATGGCACTAACTGTTTATAGTTTCTATGACTGCCTGCACCTAGGTTATGAATTCAAACAGCTCACTTAGTGCTATTGGGGCTGAGACTGTGTACAAACATTAGATAAGGAAGTCTTTCTGTGACGAAGAGGAGTGCCTAAGGAGGCCGGCTTATAGTGCAACATTCTGCAAAACATGTATTTACTTTGTGCAAAAAGAGAATGCAAAAAAAAAACCAACTGCATATTAATGAGGCCAATATGCATTAAAGTAGTGTTGATGTCTAGAGTGTCCCTTAAAATTACAACATAGAACTGATTACAAATGAATTCCTGAGTGATTCTTGAGCTCCTTAAGGAATTTTCAGGCTTTTTGTAGGCTATCCAAATCAATTAAGGGTGCAGTTTAGTACATTTCTGAGGATAGTAAATCAAGTGAACTTTTTGCCTTGGAATTTTCTCCTTAATACGTAATATATAATATTTTCTTAATAATTTTCCCAGAATTTTCCTTTGAAACTTTGGAGTACCATGCATATTATTAAATATTATGTCTTAAATTAGAGGGGCAAAGCTTTAAAAATAATATCAGGAAGTATTATTTTGAGAGGGTAGTGGATGCATGGAACAGCCTTCCAGTTGAAGTGGTAGAGGTTAACACAGTAAAGGAGTTTAAGCATACGTGGGATAGGCACAAGACTATCCTGGCTATAAGATAAGGCCAGAGACTAATGAAAGTATTTAGAAAATTGGGCAGACTAGATGGGCTGATTGGTTCTTATCTGCCATCACATTCTATGTTTCTATGTTTAATATTTTGTTTCTCTAAACATATCTATCTATCTGTATGTATTATAGATGTGGTTTATTTATTGACATTTTGTAGACATACCAGAATGCCTTCCTCCTCTTTTCATGCCTAACAGAGGATTAACATATCACAAAAGCTGGTTCTCACATGGGATTCGGCAAAATCCTAATGACCCTATTAGATTGTTTAAAAAGCCCAGCTCATGGCTAAATGTTGCAGGTTAATCCACATGTAAGTTGCAAGGACTCTCCGGGAATGCGTGTGAATGCATATGTAAGAACTTCAGAATGGTGTGTGTCAATGTGTGTTGGTATGTCAGGTTAAACTAGTCATGCAAACTCATCGATTGCTTCAAAAGGTTAAGACTGCAAGGGCTAATGAGCTGAAGCATTGACAGAAAGGGAACTCTAATGTCACATTACATGCCTGAATATGTTGATCCCAGGTTCAAATGGTTAAAACAAATTAATTATTATTGTAGAGATATTTAACGTATAAAATGATGCCCACAAGGAATCGTGGCTTTTAACATTGATATATTGTATTAATAATTAACTACTCCATATGTTAAACCATCAATTATCCTTTGTAAAGAGGTGAAATTAAGAAAGATTTATTTAAAATACAAAACACACCTTAGTAAATAGGTAATAGTATATTTATTGTAGATTTATGTACTATTGTAGATTTATAGATCTTACCTTTTTAAATCCATGATTGAAAAGAAAAAAATATATATTTCCCTCCACATTCTCAGATTTCAGACTTTACAACATAGTAGATTCTATAACTGTATCTGTGTGTAAAATATTTGATTAAGTATTTCTGCTAATTATCCCGATGAAATAATCCACAAATGATTTTAATGTTTTCCATCTTAAAACCATATCAGCAAAGTGATGTTAAATATAAAAGATCAGTCAAATTTATTTAATTAATTTATATTTTGTCTTAAGTATACTTTTAAAGTGAAGTTGACAAATTAAAAGTTCAAAATATCCAGTTGTTCAAATTACTTTTGTACAGGACCTTCTGGTTCATTGGGGTCTTCTGGACCCAAATAATTTAATTGATTTCCATTTAACCATTTCCCCACTGTCTCATCAATGCTTATGGTGGGCTCTTTATATACATAGCTCACCCAGCTTTATTTCACAAGTCAGCTACAATTTAACGCTTCATATGTAACTGTTGTATATTTGTAATAGCCAACAGACCATTTTCAAAGCCATACTGAGCTTAGCAGAGCCAGCCAGGCAGTTTGAGTTGGGAGTTGTAGTTGACTTGAGGTTACCGATATTTGACTTAATATGTATTCCTAACGCTGAAGTGTTATACTAGTTTATACTAGCTACATAGACCCCCCACCAGATAAAATAAAGTTCTTTACTCACTCTATATCCCTTGGAACGTCAGTCTTGCTATGGCATGGCCACCATTCCCCAGCAGACGAGGACCATCAATACGGATGATCTCAGCCAATCCAAAGCCTATAGGGAAGCATTGCTCCCGAACCACTACATTAAGCCGTAATGATTCTGGTCCCTAGAATGTATCTTTAGGAACTTTATTTTCCCCAACAAATAGGTTGCAAGGTCAACTTTGTTAGACACTAGACATCAGATATAAATTAGACAACTGCACATATTTATAGATCACTTTATATTATTTCATTGATTTAAATAAGTACATATGTACATAGACAGACAGACAGATAGCAGTAATTTTCTGGATTAAATACAATAGTTTCAGCATTGTAATGTGACCATCCAAAATTTATTTCCATCATTAAATAATTATAATTTATCTGGTATTGTCTGGAACAAGTCAGGTAATGACAGAACAAGCTTAATCTGAGGAAAGCAATCACTTCCTCCTTTCCTTGTCAGGAACGGATTAATTTCAGTTCTTGGCATTATAGGCCCAAACAAGTCAAACACTGAAAGATTGACAAATGTGTTGTCAGTGGCTAACCTATTCCGAGCCATGCTCACAGAGGAATGAAGGGTATTAGCTGAGAGTTTGACCTCTCGCAGATTCAGCACCTTGGCCAGTGACTTCCACATACATTAGCTCTTGGAGGAAAGAAGATACACATTCACTGATACATTACTGTGCAGAATACAACAACACTAAATTAATGACTGGGGTGCAACATTGTGATTAATTAGCCAAGCTGAAATAAACTGCAATTAGGAATGGGATTAAAACAAAAGAAAATAAAGAAAATAAGATTTCTTTGCTAACTATATGAATATTTCTCTCTGCTGTCTGTGTATCTATCTATCTAGCCCATCAGTACGGAAGATTCATCAAGGGGTTTATTCAATAAACTCAGAATTATACAGACGTAAAGGGACACTATAGGCACCCAGGCCATTTTAGTGCAGTGTTCCTGTCCTGGTGCAATATTGTTGTTTTTTTTTTTTTTTTAAGAAAGTGCAATGTTTACACTACAGGATTGAATCCCCCTCTAGTGGCTCTCATACTGATGTTGTGAGAGATGTAGAAGTATGTAGCGCATGTAGGTATGGAGCTAAAAAAAAAGTAGGTGAAATAATTTTTAAATTATTTTATATGGCACATGTTTTTAAATAGGAACCAGGGCACTAAAACATTAGGAAAACAGGTTTGTAATAATAACACTTTAGTGTTACTTTAAAGAAGAATGGCAAAAATGTGTAATATAAAATATATATATATATTAATTAGTGAGGTGTGCAAAAAAAATTAATTGGAAATCAGCACTTTTTATTCTTGAACTGAGCACCTTTAGCTCTGTCACAGATGCGGGGACTCACTTACCTGTCCAGAGAGGTTGGAGGTCGGCAACACTGGTCTCCTCAGCTTGTTTCTGGCCTCTTGCAGACTCCGCTCTCCCATCCAACGAAGATGGCATCCGCAGCGATCTCCGTAAGATGGCAGCCGGGATGCAGGAATTCTGGCCACTGTGACCGCAAGCATAGTGAGCAGAATCTGGGGACGAATTAAAAAATTGTGTCCAAAATGGTGCTTATTCCAAGGAGCAAATTTATAGAGATCAGTAATTCCACCTGCAGGGGGAGAGGTGAGTCTTGTGACTTATCTGCCATTTATATTCTGCTCACTCCCTCCAGTCATTGCTCAGTTATTCTGTAGCCTAGCCTCAGTTTACTAGTGTCTATAGTGTGTCCTCCCGGTCACCAGCATTTGGCTTTCTCCCGGACTTCGTCTCATGTCTTGATCTTTGGACTGTCCTTGACCCTGCCTCTCTGCTGTGCCCCTTTTGGATTACACTCCTGACTATCCCCACTATTAAATAAAGCCCCCATGCCATCATAGACCCACCAATACCCTGTCTGTACCTTCAGGCTACCTTTGTGGGTTGTACTGGCAAGGGGCTGCTGTTCCGCTGCACTTGAGTTGCCGATCCTGGAAAGACAAGAGCCCGGTGGGCTGTTACAGGCTCCCTGCCAATAATTATTATAAGCTCTGTCCATTGCACTTGGCAGTCATTGTAGAGGGAGCATACAGAGACGAGGAGAAATCAAACAATGTTTCTAATTCTCCTGATCATTTGCAATGTTTGCCCTGGCTGTACCTGTATTGAACTGGGTTGTGAAATAATCAGATAAATCTTTAATATAAATTTAAAAGAAAAAAAAAAGACTACACCAGCTACAGATGATTTTCTATGTTTTATTCAATGGTATTAGTTCGAGAGAAGTGACTGTTCCTCTTTAAACAGCTAGGGGATTGTTCCGAATGATATCTTGAGATTAAAAGTATCCCACCGATGTTAGTTATTGGTTTACGTTAGCTGGATTTACTTTCAGAGATATGCAAAGCAGCGGCAATACACTCATTATAATGAACAATCAGCGGTTCCCAGATAACACAGAGCTACTGCCCTCTAAGATATGCACAATCTGTATTTATGCAGTCAATGTAAGTGATATTTAACGGATTCACCCCCAAGGAGACCAGCATACAAGAATATACCGTACACTAAAGAATCTTCAATGAGCCACATTCTAAGATCAGAGATAAGCTGGGCTCAGTCATTTGAATAGCAATTCTCCCATTAAAGTCTATGGAAAACTTATCTCCAATCATAGAGAATATCTCGTTATGGCGAGAAATTCTGCCGTCTTTTCTGCCGTCTTTAAATTACACCGGGGTTAGGAAAAGGAAAAAAAAACCTCTAGACTTAATTTACAAAACTAGAGCGAGTATAAGTCCGTGGTTTCTATGGGGACTGTTTCACTTTCAGTACGTTAAATATTTCATATAAAAAGAAGCATAGATATCTCTGAACCTTATTTGACTGAGAATGATGGGAGTTACAGTCAGAATGCTGGAAGTACTCCCAGCCCTTAGCTTTTTCGTGCCTTTCTAAGCCTTTGTAAAACGTAACAGCTTGCAACACTTTGCGTGGAATTCTGGAAGGTTTTAACAGTTAACAATCTTGAAAAAAAGTCACTCTATTAACATATTTTCCATAAACAGGTTTGACTAATTGGTTGCAATAGAAATAACACAGCAATCACACCTTTTATAATTGGCAGAATAATACATTTCGCCTTTCAACGCTTTTACCGGGAGAGATGCGGCAATACTTTCCAACGTGCCAGCAACTAATTAGGGGTTAACAGGTGAAAAATGTTTAAACTATGCTCCGTTATAAAAAAAATAATAATAATAATAATATATTCTCTTTGAGAATTTAATTTCCTCTTCTTGGTATTAAAAATAAATAAACTGTCATTTTGTTTCGTTTTAATTAGAGTTTTGTTGGATTTTGTTTTTATAGAAAAAGTGTCGGAATGCCATATGTACTTAACACCATGATACACAGGATAACAATTACAGACCAGCTCTGAAATACAGGTTACAGTATGGTGTTCTAACACAAGACTTGTAAAATTGTGAAATATAGAGCAAAAATGGCAAAGCTGAATAAAACACATTTTCTAATTCTGCCATTTTAGCCTAAGGATTCCAAACTGATTGTCAGTCCATGTCACATTCAAAGTTATTCACTAAAGTGAGAATTCAAGGTGAATTTCAAATTCCAGCCTAAAATAGCTGAACTGGATAAATTATCTGAGTCAGCTATGCTTTCTATTCAGCTACTATGGCCTTAAATTTAAATTTCACTTTGAATTCTCACTTTACTAATTGGCATTGATTGATTGATTGATTGATTGGAGCAGTGATTCCCAAGCCAGTCCCCATGGTCCCACAACAGTCCTGGTTTTGTCAGTATCTTCACTGAAATAGAAAATAGAAATGCAGAAAATCTGAATAGTTGCTTTACCGTGAGGTTAGGTTATTCACAAACATGTGACGTGTCAGAAATTCAAAGTGAATTTGAAATTTAAGGTCAAAATAGTTGGATTGGTAAAATTCTCAGCCAGCCACACTTCCAGTTTGGTAACTGTTACTTCGAATTCCAGGAATTCTCCCTCCGTTAAGTAATCCTGATAGTCCTGTGTAACATATACAGGGTTATTTATGAAAATGTGAATTATCAGGGATTTTAACGTAAATGTCAAACTTTAGACCAAAGCAGCTGTACAGGAAACATAGCTAAGCATTTTTGTTTCCTGCTAAGATCTTAAACTTGAAAATCATTTTAAAAACTCACTCTAGCCACCATTACCACTACATACTGCTATAGTGCTCATCATGGTAGGGGTACCCTGGCGCCATTCCCCATTATGGGGCAAAATATTTTACAATGCTTCGCCCTTTTAACTGGGACCCATCAGGCACAAAACCTCTTGTTAAGCAGAATAACAAAATCAATTTATAGCAAAATGTTGCAAATACAGACTAAAGACACCATGACCACTTCAAATCACTGAAGTGGTCATGGTGTCTTTAAACTCACTTTGATTCTGGCAATTCACACTTTAAAGATGTTCACACCTTCCAAGGATCCATGCAGTGTATTAAGTGTATTCAGATTTTGCCCTCCCCCTCTCTCATCTTTTGCTGTTAGAATGCACCCACACAATTTGCATACACAGGTTTCCGTAGAGTGTGATAGAAGAGATGAATTTGCCATTTACAGTTCCTCTGCAAAGATGCAGAGGGATGAAACTAAACCTTTGCAGAAGTAGAATTTTCTCTTCATGGTAAAAATAAGCACTGGAGCAAGGTAAATGGAACTTTATAAACTAAAATGAACTTTGCTTTTCAATGCCAAATTAATTTTAACCTAATAGAAGGAGGATGCAGGATTTTCGGCATTCATAAAAAGGCATTAAATTTTACCCGGTTTCATGTTTTTTACACCAACTTCTAATTATGCAAACATTTCTCTGCAATACATGCAAATCGGGTACAACCAGTAAATGCTATTATCTTTGAATAGGAAAGCGTTCAGTAATTAATTTAAATTAGTTGTATAATTCTACGTAAATTATCTAGAGAAAGACCCTGTGCCCTTCTTATTGACCTCAGGAATGCAATTGGTCATTGTCCACAGTTATTACTCAGTTCTTGGACAGCAAAATATCCATATCTCACTTCCCCAGTGATTCACTTAAGCTATTCTGTCATACTCTTTAATTATGCACAAGACAGATGCCGACTGAAAAAAGTCTGGCTTGTCACTGGTCAGGATTGAGCTGTAAGCAATTGGGGTCAGGTATTTGTGCTGGAACAGAAGAGATCGCTTTATAGAAGCAGAGAATTGTACCAACAGTGGCAGCGAACAGTCCTGCACAACTGGATTGAGATACAGCTCTCTGAATGCGCAGGGAGGCTTAATAATAGAACATTGCAATAATAAGAGATCTGTGCTCCTACTCAAGTGATAACCAGAGTTATGTACTAAAGTCGGGAATTAAAACTTAAATCCAAAATTGTCGAACTGGAAGCATAGTTGACATGGAGAATTTTTCAAATTCGGTTATTTTGTTCTTAAAATTAAAATCTAATTTGAATTTATAACAATTCTCACTTTAGTGTACAACCCTGTAAGAGGATAAGTGATCACTAATGATGAATATAGACTGTAAGCTCGTTTGAGCAGGGTCCTCTTCATCCTATCGTTCCTAAACATAGACACATAGAATGTGATGGCAGATAAGAACCATTCGGCCCATCTAGTCTGCCCAATTTTCTAAATACTTTCATTAGTCCCTGGCCTTATCTTATAGTTAGGATAGCCTTATGCCTATCCCACGCATGCTTAAACTCCTTTACTGTGTTAACCTCTACCACTTCAGCTGGAAGGCTATTCCATGCATCCACTACCCTCTCAGTAAAGTAATACTTCCTGATATTATTTTTAAACCTTTGTCCCTCTAATTTAAGACTATGTCCTCTTGTTGTGGTAGTTTTTCTTCTTTTAAATATAGTCTCCTCCTTTACTGTGTTGATTCCCTTTATATATTTAAATGTTTCTATCATATCCCCCCTGTCTCGTCTTTCCTCCAAGCTATACGTGTTAAGATCCTTTAACCTTTCCTGGTAAGTTTTATCCCGCAATCCATGAACCAGTTTAGTAGCCCTTCTCTGAACCCTCTCTAAGGTATCAATATCCTTCTGAAGATACGGTCTCCAGTACTGTGTACAATACTCCAAGTGAGGTCTCACCAGTGTTCTGTACAATGGCATGAGCACTTCCCTCTTTCTACTGCTAATACCTCTCCCTATACAACCAAGCATTCTGCTAGCATTTCCTGCTGCTCTATTACATTGTCTGCCTACCTTTTAAGTCATCAGAAATAATCACCCCTAAATCCCTTTCCTCAGATGTTGAGGTTAGGACTCTATCAAATATTCTGTACTCTGCCCTTGGGTTTTTACGTCCAAGATGCATTATCTTGCACTTATCCACATTAAATGTCAGTTGCCACAATTCCTGTAAGTTTTCTTGTAATTGTCCTATTTATAGTTAAATCCCCCCCTCTTATATTATTGTAAAGCGCTACAGAATCTGTTGACGCTATATAAATGGCAATAAAAAT